TATGTTATTCAACAACATTTGCCTAAAAGATGTTAGGTCGAATGTGAAACATGTCAAGCGAAGCAGCGAGATGTATGTTATTCAACAACATTAAAGATGTTAGGTCGATGTGTCAAGCGAAGCAGCAGATGTATGTTATTCAACAACATTTTAAAAGATGTTAGGTCGAGTGTGAAACATGTCAAGCGAAGCAGCGAGATGTATGTTATTCAACAACAAAAAGATGTTAGTGTGAAACATGTCAAGCGAAGCAGCGAGATGTATGTTATTCAACAACATTTGCCTTAAAGATGTTAGGTCGATGAAACATGTCAAGCGAAGCAGCGATGTATGTTATTCAACAACATTTGCCTTAAAAGATGTTAGGTCGAATGTGAAACATGTCAAGCGAAGCAGCGAGATGTATGTTATTCAACAACAAGATAATCCTCATACCTTCATGTAACCTTTGAGTAGTTTCTGTACGTATTCATAAGATGAATACTGTTTAAGAAGAGTAGGGAAATTCTTTAGTTGATTCAAAAAAGCATCAAGAGATTGACGTATCTAAATTTAAATGAAAAAGCATGCGTACTTTAAACATACATTAAAAACATCTACATATCTACATATGCAATATTACAAACGTATATTTGGAGTAGAAACGTTAAAAAGTCATAAAAGCACAACATTACCACAACTGCAAAGTCAATCATTATCATTAAATTCAAATCATATTATATTGCAAGTGATCTACCTTGCGCGGTTGTACTGACAACCAAGGTTGCTCTTTCATTTCATCGATCTTCTCCCAAATCTTCAACAACTCGTTCCAAACTCCTTTAAGATCTTGCAACTCTTCCAATGAAACCTGGACACGATCATCGCTGATCATTGTAGCACCTGATGTTAAACAACACTATTGTAATGACACTTTGTAGTGACATCGATGAAACCTTTACATTACGCATTTTTACGACTTGGTCATGCAAGATATATTAGGAAGAATACGGTAGAAATATGACACACTTCATAATGTAGGATAATGAGGATATAGTAGGAACAATACAGTGCAAAGATGATATAAACTGATAAAATACAAACTTTGCAATTGAACCTACTCACCAAGTCTGAGCACCACAACAGCGTTGAATTAATTATTGACAGTATATGCAGTGAGAAAGTTCAACGACTTTCTCTGGCATGCTATAAATACACAAAAGAAACAAACCATACCTTGTTCCATTAACTCTAAGGCTTCCTTAGCTTTTGCAACATTACTTCTATCATCTTTCAATCGATTGAGCTTTCCCTCGTAAACAGCAAGAGATTTGAGAGCAGCATCCGGTCGAGTACTACCTTCAATAGGTTTGCCTTTATCTCAGTTATTCAGGAATTCTGTTGTTCTTTCTTCAACAGCTTGATCTTCAGCAATGATCTTCACTTGCAACATTGACACCTTTGGCAAAGAGAATCGTGTCATCGTCAACAAATACAATACACCATATTGTTCTTCAGTGGCCAAAAAATAATGTATTTTAAATAGCCATAAATGTATATTGCATATTTTACCTCTTTTTGAATAGATATATCTTTACGATTAAAGATATCATTGAATGCTCCCCATTCGCCCTCTACGTTGTCGTAGTACAACCATTGTGATGGAAACTGGAATCTTTGCCTTTCCAGAATGAGCTAACCGTTTTTGTAAACCTACCATGATATAAATAAATATTAAGAGTGAATAAGTAAGCACTTGTGTGGCATGGAAATGAAGTCAGAAAGTCATAACTTGTTGAGATGGGTAGAATGGATAAGAGAAAATAAATGTTTTAAACAAGATAAAAGGAGGGGACTCAACAAGATGAAAGGGGTGGACTAACAACATAACAGGGGTGGACTTCACAAGACAACTGGGGTGGACTTCACAAGATAATAGGGGTGGAACGAGTGCATTAACCAGAAATTATCTAAACAAAAAGATAAAATAACAAGATCCACTTGCCTCCATAACTTTTTCCCACTTTTTCAGTTTATGTTTTAAAGATTGAACAAAAGTAATAAAGCTGACGGTATCTGATGTTGATGATACTTCAACAGAATGTTGTTCCAAATCTGTACGGCTCTATGAAGATGAAACGCAATTTTATTTCATTCTCTGCGAAAAAAAGACGATCCTTTTCAGAACTGATTTCAGAAAGCTAACTGCTAGGGACGTCGACAATGAATAAGAGGTTTGTATAGTTGATCAAAAATAAAGCAATATTTACAATACAATAATTTATCAAAGAATTCAACCTGTGTATAGTCTATAATAAACTTTCCTAGAGATAATTGTACAAACCTTGGTAATTGTTCCATAAAAATCATTCATATTCGTGCCAAGCATGGATCCAAACTTGCTCAGCAATTCTTTGTGCCAACTGTCATACTTAAGATTTACTTTAGATTGAACCTAAAAAAAAATGTAAGGAGTCGAATTACATACGATTGTTTACAACAAACAAATTAAATGTGAACACAATATTGGGTATGTTGAGGGAATTGAACCATTTATGAATATCATTATTAACTGAATAAGGGTTGAACCATAAACATCACTGACAAAACAGTTGTGAAATCATAAATATAATTATTGGTAGAACAGAAATTGAACCATAGAGATAATTATTAAAGAACAGGAGTTAAACCATGCATTATATTACGAGCAAAGTAAACGTCGCAATGAATCACGAATTCTTTCTTAAATTTTAACATACCTGTTGGAAGTCAATAACAATAGGTCCAAATTCCTTTCTTGTTTCTTGTGTATCAAATTTAACACGGGACTTTCTAAAAGTAGAAATTAACAAATTTACAACTTACGTATAACACATCACATTAAAAATCAATATATCATTTGTTCTATTCTAAATTAGCTACGTACCTGATATTCCTCAGTAGAATGATCCATCTCTCGACACTACTATCAAGTTTGCTATAAATGAGACCAGTTTCCATGTCCCACAAGGATTGATAACGTAACCACACTTGAACATATTTTTCCTCCTCTCCAACTTTCTTCTCGACAGCCTCGTAAGCTCTCTCTATGACTTCGGGACCATCCGGAAGTATTGTGAGAAGATTACGATAGCTTGTGTGGGATTCCAAATCATCTGAATCAAGGCCAACCTAAGCAAGAAAACAAAGAGAAACTCGCAACATCATTTTCCACAATGACTTCTTTTTAAAAGTTAATGATAATACAACTCGATGTCAAGACCAAAACACAACATTACAGAAGATAACCAATAAAACAATAGTGGGAATAATCTATTAAAAAATGAAATACATCACTCGGTGCAAGTCGATTTTCCAAGACGTTGATGAATACGTAATGTTACCTGATATCGGGAACTCTGAATTCTGGGTAACTTGAGAATGACACCCAACCATGTATGAAGTTGCTCAAGAAGAAGACTTCTAACAGCTTCCACAGGAGGATAAAGATACAAGATTTGATTCGTGATTCGTACTTCATGACGAAGAATCTGAAGAGATGAAATAAGTACTATAAAATTCGCAAGATAATGTACACACGGAGAACGAATCAAAGTTAGCGTTTTACAAGTCATACGCAGAACAAAAACTTGAAAGACCCATTATTATTGTTATACTTTATGTATCATCTCTATATCATTGACATACAAAGTGCAACTTATATCTTTATTTACCTTTATTTCAGGATCTCCACCAGGTTTATGCAAGACCATGGGGTTTGTGTCGAAATCAAATTCCATTTTTCTGCCATCGGCATTGTAATCTTGGAGGTATTCAGTCCATGTAATTAATCCAGCTTGTAAACGAACGGAAAGTTTCTCTTCGACCTAAAAAAACTCTCACGTCTTAGTTGGACATAGCAAGTACGCAGAGAAATGAGTATTTTCAGGAGGAAAATAAATCATTTGAATGAAAACTCACACTTTTGTCAAAGCTAGCGACCCACAATGCCAAATTTGTATAGGAATACAGATTCATTGCATCAACCGATTTCTGAATACTTGCTAAAACTTGATGGAAGGTTTCAGAATCATAACTACATGATGCTAACGATTTAACTTCCCTTCAATTCTTTCAACATTGATCAACAAATCATCAACCTGCAATAAAACCACATAACGAGAGTCTAACGTTGGTCGTTAAAACCACACGATTTATTCATAAAGAGCTTGTAACCTTTTCGTGAAAGCTGATGATTGCATCTGCAAACTTTTGCACATAAGGATCCAGTTTGTAAGATTCCCAGGTGAGACCAATACCCTACGAAAAAAAAGCATTACATCTGTTTCATTAAGAACGTTACTGACAAACGCAAAATGGTCAAAGATTTCCATTACGACCGCAAACATCTGTGTTTCCGGTAAATTTTTCAAAAAATTACTCACAGGAGTGTTCCTAAACATAGTGTAGATCAATGGGCCTGTTGTGTCTAAGAAGCTTCTTTAACAGTAAAAAAATTCATTGTTTATTGGTGATTACAATCAATAGCTATTAGTGCTTGAAATTTTTAGTCAATATAGCAATTTTTTCCGTTTTAGAAATTTGCTGGGGGAGAGAGAAATATTTTATCCATGCCTTATCTTCATCGCCACCAATTTTTAGGTATACGAAAGGTGAAAACCTGTAGGCTGAAAATTTATATAAAGTTATTACCTCACTGATCAAGTTTTGAATATCTCTTTCTAGACCAGCAACCAAAGGTTTTATCGTCTTCTTGTTTGTAACCTAAAAATTACGCAAATAGTTTACATACACTTACATCTGCAATTCTTATTGACAAAAAAGTTAAACTGTGAATGTCGTGAGACTATTCCATACGTTTTCTACATGGAAAACTTTCGCCAATCTTTGTTGACAGTTTATCAACTTTTTACCTTTTCGCAAGCAGTTTCGTAGGACCAGACACTCTCAATAAGAGAAATGGCAAATGGATACAGCTGATTGGCTTGATGTGCTTTGTTCACAATAGCAAGTGGCACACAAAATCCAAGCCACTTTAAGTTACGAACCTAAAACATAATTTGTCAAGAAACAAAATTATTGTAGGTTTAAAAATGATTTAATTCAGTTCAATATTCATAATGAACTGAATGAGTATTGAACTTCATTTATAATTAATTAATCAGTTCATTTTTTGAAGTTGAAACTAGCATTTTCTTCTCTACTTTTATTAAACATGTGATGTAGTCATAACAAACCTGAACAAAGGAAAAGTGAATAATGGATGACGTGGAACAACAAAAGACGGTATAGGCACAGTACTTGGCACAATGCCCCATACTGTCATGATGAACATCACCTGCCAGAACAACTGATCCACATTCTTTAGTTTTTTTCAGCAGTTTCTGTTGGTACTTTCTCCAAAATATAAATATTGATGGGAAAAGAATGTTCTATAAATGTAATTTAAAATATTAGTCACCCTTAAAATCTGCAGCTTAAACCAAAAAACATGCCATACTTGCTGATGTCTAAAGTATGTTGGCAGTGAAATAACTTGCAGTCCCACATGCTTCATTGCTTGAAATGTTTTGCTAGCTGAAGATCCCGCCACTAAGACTGCAAATGAAAGTAGAAAGTTTCCAGCTGCAATCTTAGTACCAGGCATCAATGGCTGACTTTTCCAAACAAATTCTTTATGACAATCAACATTTTTGCACATGGTTTTTATGGTCACCATTGTTCCACTTTGACAAACAATTACATGAACCACAAGATTTTTTCCATGACAAAACATGCATGTTTTAAACAACAGAAGAAGCTGTTTTAAGAAGACAATGTATTTCTGCTGCTTTTGCACATTGTCAGAAGTGTTGATTCTAAAGAACAAAGAAGTAACACCAAATACTAATTAGTGTGAAGCCAACGTTTCTATTTAATATATATCTTACATTGGTTCTGAGTATTCATCATCATCATGAACACTCACAATTATCAACAAGATTTTCATCATCTTCTGTGTCATCAGTAGTTTCCATTTCAACTTCAAAATCATCACCATCAGAATCATCATCATCCACACTGTCTGTTTCCCCATCTTCCAGGTTCGAGCTAGGATCAAACTCACTGCATGTTGATGAAGTATTTGCAGTGTTAATGCTGAAGTCCCTCTCAACTGCATGGATGAGAAAAAAATCAGAGCAATGAGAAACATGATACATTCTAAATATTTTGAAATATTTAAAAAATATATAAATATACACCTTCTTTTCTAAGTTTTTTAACTTGTGTTTTGCTGACAGCCATTGCCCAGATAATCGTTTGTTCTGCTTTCGCAGATTGTAACAACCAGCACAATCTGCAGGCAATGTTTGGGTGCCAACTGTTTGATGTGTCTGGAAAGGCATTCATGTATTTCAAAATATATTATCACTTTATAACACTGAACTGAATTTAAATACCTGTTCTATTTTATCGATTTCAGCCAATTTAGATGCGGAGGTGAAAGTGTTTTCAATTGGGAGTTCTTCTGCAATCGTTTCAGAGATGATTTCTTCTTCGATGAAATTATCAGTTGAAGTAGAGCATGATTCGCTTACCAAATCTTTTACCATCTTGTTAACCTATATACAGAATGAAACATTATCACTAACAAATCGCTTTTCATTTGCAGATGGTATCTTTTTACATACCCATCGTTTCTCTCTAGGTGTAGGAATTTTTGTTCATCATCTTTTAGAAATATTGTTGGATAAGCGGTGATTCCAAAATCATCTTTTTTCAGCCTTGGTGTATAATTCTTCGTCCCTAGGATTTCTACCATGTATTTTTCGTAATCCGCATCAGTAAAATGAACGGAACAAACAACCGAATACTTAGTCGGTGTCCATCGAGCGCGTTTTCTTGCAACAAAATTAACCCAGATTTTACGTCTTCGTTTCGCTTCAGGACGCTCATCACCGTAAAATGGTATACGGTGAAGAGAAATTCCTTCCGCAGAATTTGCTCGGTTTGAACAGCCGAAAACTGCACATCTATCAGGCATTTTGATGCAGAGCAGGGTTGTTAGGCTCCAGCGCTCGTTTGTAGCCAAATATGGTTTGAAAAGTGGCCAAATGGCAACAAAAGAGGCCAAACTTGTTTTCTGAGCCCGCACTGTTTATGGCATGCGGTTTTAATAAGTTTTTCTAATTGCTTCTTATAGTCTATATGGATTTATCATAAATATATACCATACATTGCAAGTCTAGCGATGCCAACGCCTAATGTTCACATCAAAGGACATATGGGAAGAGGTGAATAAAGAACGTAAGACTGAAAATTTATTCGCTGTTGCAAAAATATGGTGCTTGTTGACGAAATGAAGAGAAAAAATGAACTACACGTCCAAAAGCCTTGATAAGCATTACAAGCTTAAAAAGGCCATGTCAAAAATACAAAGTGAATAAACTATTTTATCTGTCTTTCTATAAGATCTCGACGTGCATAGTTGTCATTTTTACTGCTCTCCATATATACAGATTTATATAAATATTTATGCATAGTTCTTATAATGTTTATTCTACTCACATTCATACATGTGTTTAGTGGCAAACAGCTCAAGCATTCGCTTAGTTACCTTAAAGTTAATGCAGCAGTTCCCGGCAAAGTGTAGGCTGGAACGAATACGAATAATGGCATTTAGCAGTTCTAAGCTCATCCTATTGCGTTGTTTGGTCTTCACTGATGTCACCAAGGAAAAGGTTCTTTCAACCACTGCATTGCTTACAGGATTTGTCAACCTTAAAGTTAATGCAGCAGTTCACGGCAAAGTGTAGGCTGGAACGAATACGAATAATGGCATTTAGCAGTTCTAAGCTCATCCTATTGCGTTGTTTGGTCTTCACTGATGTCACCAAGGAAAAGTTTCTTTCAATCACTGCATTGCTTACAGGATTTGTCAGGCAGCTTAAGTCGTAAGTTGCCAATTCCTTGAATTGGCCTTGTAGTAGTAGATACTTTAATGTGTTTGATGTGTTTATCAGTTTTTTCGTGTTTGGTTAAGTTTGCTTGTTTGGGTCTGATTGTGGCACGGCACAATTTACAAAAAGCATCTTCACTTCCGTCTGAAGCTTTTGTGAGCCAGCTAAATTTACTTTCCCAAGACTTGAGAAATTGGGTTTAAACTTATAAAATATTATAGTTTTCTAAACTGCATCATCACAGCTGAAGATAGGTACTCTCAATTATAAATGAAAACCACATGCTTTTAACAGAAACTAACTTTGTGCTGTGCTATTTCCCTAAAATAGAAAAGCATTATTAACCTATCTTATATTTATTGAATATCATTTGATTGTATGCTCATCTAGTTAATATTGTATTCGTCTCACTAATCACATTGCCGAACATCACCGAATCACAAAGCACAACATTGACTGGGACTCGGCAAAATGCATCACTTACAGTACTGACTATAGACAACGGCTTACATTAGAAAGTTGGTATACCAACTTAGAACAAACCCCCCTGAACAGATCACAGCAATTACCG